GTAATTTATTTGAACGAGCGCTTAGTCTTTCGAGGCTCTATCAATACTCTCTTCAAACGCACAGGACGTGATGCTATCTGTCGACCTCCCCCTAACCTCTGAGTCACCTACGCCCTGGGTCGATCTACGCACATTTAACGCTGTGTGAAGAACGCGGTGTTGGTTTTTATGCATCTTTTATGGACGAGACAGTGCCACTTTCCTACTGGCACAATAGTTCACGTTCTGCTCCACAGAGTACGACAATAGCGCCATCATCGCGCAGAGTATCTCGCACAGGATGACCCCGATTCCCTGGTACTTCGCACGTCTTTCCTTGTTTCACACATGGAGAGGCGGCATACGCCGTGGGCGTAAACCTTCCCCTCTTCTTCCCGTACCCTTCTTCGGCGAACTCAGGAATCTGCGACCTCTTGAGGCTACTGTGGGAGCTCAGTCTTTCAGGCTGAGTATTTTTTGTTTGTTTTCGGTTTAATCTTCGTTATAACTGAATAAACATGGTCACTGTAAAATTAAGTTTTGTTGCTTAGGAATTTCAATTAATTGATTACTAAACCAGTTTTAAAAATTCGCGTCGATGTTTTATTAACATCGATGTTATAATTTTGAACATCGATGTTTTGTTATGGATGTCACATCACTAACTGGCACCACCAATAGAATTCCGTACCGGCCGATACTGATACCCCAAAAATATTCTTTCACGAAGTTGACACTGATCTTGACATGTTTAAGCGAACAATTGAATTACTAAGTAAATCGCGTTTCAGATTGATTTAAATTTAGATTCGAATTATCGTATTTAAAAAAAGCGAAAACCCAGAACAGTATTGCCTCAGAACTTATTAGACTTCATATTCAGAAAGTTGCTTTAGCTGCAAGAACCCACGTATAAGGAAAACACCACGTATATGGACACATTTCAAAAATAAAATTAATGTTATTTAAGTAAATATTGCAAATGAGTTATGATCAAGTGTTCAATCAAAGTATGCAGAATAATTAGAAGCATGCAGAAATGTGATGTTTATTAAGAAAACATGCAAAATATGAAAGATGTGCATCATAATGTAATGTTGAAATAATTGAAAATTAGATGTTTCACACACAATGTGAACACGCTTTCTGGCAACAGGGAGAAATGTGCATTTGCATAGAAATTGGGCCCCTAAACATCTCGTAGGCGCGAACCATTTGAGTTGCTCAGTAGTAGTCACAACCCCTCGGCGTTCAAGTGTAGATTGAATAGCGGCTCGTTTTATCATTTTAAAGAAACCACATGTTTCATGGCTTTCAGAATAGGAACCTACTTGGTAGTTCTTTAAGATTGGTTGATAATGCACGTATCTACTGCTTCTGTTGATGACGAACAGCTTATTTAATAGCTTAGCACGTCAGTTGCACGCTTTCAGACGCACGCACAATCTTTAGCTCTCTCGCTTTGCGTCTTGTCGATAGCCAGCTGGCGTGTCGTTCGCGAGGCGGCGGCAAGGCTACGCCTCCACCTGTTGATAGCTGTCCGGAGGACCGCCGACCCACTCGCCGGCTGGGCTCGTTTTTTTCACACATTTATTTGTTTCAGATGGAATACATCGTTGAGTACAATCACTTTACAAACCTTTTTAAAGTTATTCTAGTTAAAATATCTATGCTAACTTAATCTGTATATTGAAGAGGATACTCTAGAGAAGAACCTCGAGGTAATGTATCATGGTTGGCTAAGATTTTGAGAGAGTCATCGAACGAAAATCTATTTTTTTCTTCGTGTGAGGATTGACTTTTTCCCTAGTTGCTAACCCTCTGGGATCGCCTCAGCACTCTGCCTTGCCCACGACTCACCACGTTCAAGTTTGCCCTTGTTAGTGCGATAATTGTGCATTAATCGATTCTTGCTTCTTTGGGCTTCGTCGCATTACTATCCGAACCAGTATTTCAGTCTTCAGGAAAAGTCAGTCAGTCTGTCTTTCGCAACTACATTAGCTGACTCCCGGAGCACAGCGACTAGGACCTACATCGGATTTGCACTTGGGACGTCGCACAACCGCCCACGAGAAACTTTTCTATGTTATCTCCTCTTGACTCTGGCGTGGTCCGCCCGTCCACGCGAGAGCTCTGACAGAGCTGCCGTCGAATACGGCTTCCTATAAATTTTCAACCTCCCGAGCATCGAACGGCAACGTCTTGAGTCCGTCGTTGCGTTGCTTGTACTTGCTTGGACTGACGCCCCTATAAATCACCGCTCCCTGGTTGAACATTCAAGAATGCCCCTCCGTTCGTCCTGGCAAATGTATTCGTAGACATGCAATGCTGCTCGAAGCGACGCGTTCCCGTTCAGGCAATTAGGGCCGATGTTTATTCTGCAGCGTCCCTGCTCGCGCCGGCCCACGTGCGGAGTCTTAAGCGTCGATACGACGGCTGGGTCACGTAGTTGCTGCGCACTAGGAAGTGCTAACGCGCCTTCTTCGAGCCGAAAGACGTGGTTCGATTGTGCGTTGCAGTAGGTTGGGTCATAAAATGAAAGAGGTTTGCTTATGAGTGGCAATATAAATACTTAAATTTGAGAATATTTCCCAATTACTATAGAGCTACAATTTACAGCTACAATATCTGTGGTTGTAATTATACACGTATGGATATTGGATATTTCTAGTGTTTGCGAAAAACCCCAAGAAAATTGTTATTGACGAAAGAGTATGTTTGCGAAAGAGTATGTCGTGCAAAAAACGATTGCAAACTTACCCTTGTAGAAAGTGCAAGTGCAATTGTGATGTGACGTCCACATTATCTACAATTTAATTACATTAATTACGAAGTGAAAAGTAAAGTTTGTCATCTGTGAATGTTGTGGTATCAAAGGACATAGAAATAAAGTGCAAGGAAATATATCATGCAGAAACATGAAGAAATGGCTAATAGTATTGTGAGGGTCCAAGAGTTGGGCACTAAACGGATCTGAAATCCCATGCAATCCTTGTCATGCCATACTTTTCCCACTTTACCCCATTTAATCATAAAGATGTTGTACCCCACTGTAGTTTTGCGCCTTAATGGAGACTCCACAACTGATTAATTGCCCTATTTATGAATGATTTACTATAAATAATCTACAACTTTTTGAAACTAAAAGAATCATTATAGTGACAATATTACTGAATCTCTTAAATTACAAAAAGGAGAAAGTAGAGATAGTTCTGTTGGAATGTTCAGCCAACAATTTTTTTGTTTCGTTAAGCATTCTGAGCATCTTAGAGGAAGTGAGAGAATTGTGTAATCGGTGAAATTCTTACTGAAAAGAACGATTCTGAAATAACAGAAGAAATTTCTGAGATCGAAGAAAAACCTGTCAGTGTTTGGTGCTGTCCGACTTCTTTTCTATGGACGTGCCTATCGGTTTGCACTGTTTTTTTGTTAAGGAGGCACTGTTTTTAATAAGGCTATAGAATACCAAGGTAAATATTTGAGAAGAATAAAAATTGTTATTATCAACCAACTTGAATTACCTTGAATACGAAATATTGAATGACAAAATGCAAGAGAAGTAAATACAATAAGTTTAATCGGTTTACGAAGTGGAATTTTAAAAATATAGCGTAATAGTTCGCTGATGAGATTTCACGATGTGGTATTTCAACTTACTCTCTGCTTTACAAGTGAAACGTGAATACTGAGAAAAAATGAAGACAGTGGACTAGAGGCTTCCCAAATGAACTTCGTAAGAGTTTTTAACCGTTTTTAATCGTTTTTGACATTAAATAAATTAATAAAAAAGCTCTATTGGGCCTGACTTTCAGGAACTGACTTCCAAACGAGGATATAAGGACAATGTTAAATATTGATAGTGTGGTAAACAACAATAAAAATATCAACAGAAATGATTCTAAAATCTAAACAGGATAGAGCTAAATATCGTATCAAAGGTAGACGTCTTATATAGATCTAGGGGTAACAAAGATGTGAGTAGGTTTAGAATAAGGTGGTTGGAACAGTTTTGAGGCCCATTGGTTCTCAATCTTTGTAAATGAAGAAGAAAAATGTGAAGAGTTTGGCGAAAATTATGGGATTAATTCCAATCTTGAAAAAATATCATTTAAAAGGAAAGTAGAAAAATATTGTTAGTAACGCGATATAAAAATGTTAAACAAACTACAAATGATATTGTTTAATTAACTATTCGGCTCAGAATAAAATAGTATTCCAGTGAAGTACTTTTCAGAGCTGTCACATTTTGTTCACCGACGACTCATATTTTTTTTCCATTTTTCGCGGAGAAAATACTCGATAGGTAGGACACAACATTCATTGACCAGGTTTTTACTGAATTCCCAAGTTAATACTTTATGTCTATGGAAATTGTATTGGAAACACGAGGCTTTTTGGAAATTTAAAATATTTTTCATATTATTGTAAAGGATTACAAGAACATGTGAAGAAATGCACCCACAGTTTTTGAAAGGGGAATTAAAAATAGAATCCTGAATAGTAAATTTTTTTTTTCAACAGCTCTAATTGCTGGAATCTTTATTCTCTTTAAAGTGCCCTTGCTTATCTGGACGCATCGAATGCCCATTCGGCTCGAAAACGTCAATAAGCATTGACGCGTACGCACCGTGCGCGCGGGGGCTCGTGCGGGGCAATATTGATTAGCCGTCCGGAGCGAGACAGAGCGCCGCGAACGCACGCGCAGCGCGCCGCCTAATCCGCCCTCGCGCACGCACGTCCCAGCGCGACCTGCTCGGGCGCGGCGCCGGCCTTCCTAATGCAAGTGGCGTGCAAGGCGCACGGAGGCCCCGGCTCTTGGCCAGGATTTGCTCGGAGCGGGGGCGGCGGCGGCGGCAGCGACGGCGGGCAGCGGGCGGCGGCGCTCGGAGCGATCGGGGTGGCGCGGCGTTGGGCACGGAGGAGAGCATTGATCGCGCGGCGCGCAGCTGCGCAGGCGAGCAGCGGCCGGGGTACGCGCCCCGCGCCGCCCCCGCGCCTGCCCGCCCCCGCCCACCCGCATCGCCATCGCCGCGCCGCGCCGCCCCGCGCCGCCCCGGGTGTCGCTGCCAAGCTACAGGTGGCCGCGGCTCGCGACGCTGCACTCGCTGGCTTCACGCCTGCTGAAGATGAAGATGACGACGGCATCACGTGACGAGCTTGACAGGTAAACAGCGCGGTGGCGCATCAGCCACGCACCGGCGCCCGGCTGCGACGGGCGGCTATTTGCGGGAGCGTGGGCCCCCGCGCGCCCCCTCCCCGGAGCCGCAGGCGCGTTTCGGGCGCCCCGGGCGGGAGCCTGGCCGAGAAGCGGCCGCCTTTCCGAGAACCGCGGGCGCTTCTTGGCCGCGCCTCCCCCCGAAACACGGAGACGATTCGTTCAATTGTGTTCGATTCTGTCAACGTTCGATTACGTCAATTGGGATTCGCGGACCCCGACAATACACAAGTGCGTATGAGAGGACAGGCTGGCATCCTCCAGGCAAACTGGTGAAATTTCTGCTCTGCATTACAGATCCTTAGGAGTCTATAATTCTAATAGAACCACGAACGTTCCAAGTTCTAATGATTCCTTGCTTTCGGTAATCAATACTGATGCTTCATCCAGTTTAATCCATACTAATAATATATTAGTCGCATCGAACTTTGTAACCAGACTTGGAGCGTTCGGCAACGTTTAACTTTCTGACGTCGAAGTACAGCAAAAGTGTTCGGATAATGTGAGCTCCTGACGTTTGTTTGTGAAGCAAGAAACCATTCCCTCTGCTTTTCATTCCTTTTGCTTCGTTGTCGATGAATGATTGTGACGGGAGTCATTGGGATTGTGACGGGATTGAGTTGGGAGAAGTGACGAATGTACGTAGAGTGCCAGCCCCTTCATTAAATTCCAATATCATGCGCCTCAGTGCGTCGCTGACATTCGCCCCGCTCACCCAGTGACTTGGAGTCGCCCCCTTCCCCCCCCCCGCCAGGCGCCGCTGCCCGGGATTCTCATGCGATGCCACCTGTGCCCCAGCCGTCCTCAGGGGGGTTGCACGTTCTACGCAGTCTAGGTCATGACGTTCGCTGTGGCCAGTCATTTTCCGCTTCTGATATCGGTTCTGTAAACGGAAGTATGTGGCTATTCTCGTGAAAGTCAAGTACAAGTCTTGAAGAAATCAATTAGTCGCAGTTGATTTCGCGCAGATTACATCTTTATATATGCGCAGATAATATCTTCTTGACGCGCACATCTAAGTCAGTGATTTCCATTTTCTTCTCGCTGCATTTTTTCATCCACATTTTTGAGACTTCTGATATGTAAATTAATACAGTTGAATCCCTGTAAATTCCCTGGCATTAGGCACATAAAAATACTACTGCCATTAAATTAAAAATTATTAAAGAATTGTAATATTCACGAATAGTGTGGCAAAGAAGTGTTCGGGAAAAATTAAATAATGTTCAATTACATTTTTTATACAATTTGTAGTTTTGGTTGAAAACTGTAATTATATTATCTGCATTTAATTTACATTTATCTCTTGAACCAGGCTTTCTGTAAAAATTACTAAAGAACAAATTCTTTATAAAACGTGCGTTTGGATTTGTCGGATGTGTTTAAATACGTTTTTCAATTTAATCAATATTTTTCTCCACAGTCTCATTAACGATTTTTTTAACATTCTCACACGAGAAAATTATCATTCCTGTAGTATTAGCGTACTCTTAAAATGAACATTTTTAATTTAAAACTGCAAACTAGTGTTTTCGTTAGTTCACGTTCCACACTGTCAAAAATGATATTTAAATTGAAGGTTAATTGAAGAAATTAAGATATCTTCACCCTTACATTGCAGTAGCGTTTGCTGTGCGTGTGTATAAGCAAAACGTGTTAAAAAATCGAAATAACGAGCTGTCTTGCACTTGCGATAAAACCTAACGAAGCAATGTAGTGAGGTAAATGCCATGGACTGACATACTTGACGCTTAGGGAGACGCTGAAATTACTTTTTGTAATACCTAAATTCTAATTTCTCTTACAAAGTATTAGCAAGAGTTCAAGCTGTGGTTTACATTCTTCATAACCTTATTTGTATCTGACTGTCAAAACATCTATGCATTTTAAGTCAAAGTTGATGTAAGTATATGTTTTCTTGAATCATGTGTTACTCAAGTTTGTGCGACTAGAAAATAAAAAAAATCATTTTGGACATTCTTCTGGTTGCTTCCGAAACACACAAGTATTTGCAAAGATTTTTCTTGGATGAGGAATATTCTCTGGTCCGAGAAAATTATATTCGTTTCTACCGATATAACTTTTGACAAAAGTGTGATTTCTTTAAATTTACTTTGAGACAGTCTGTAAACATTTTATGTTAAATTGCTCATAGATAACTAATTCCAAAGAAAATGTAAAACTTTACACGTGCACTCCAGTAAGTCACTACGAAATTGTTAAAGCTGTTTGAAATACATGAGCGATGTTTCATTAACTTGAAATATGATTTGATCAATTTTGTGGATATAATTACATGGTCCATAGGACATTAGAACTGCTTGTACCCTCCTCTTCAAATATTGCTTAATGTTGAATTTGGAGATTTAATAGCAATTAAAAAATAAAGGCTGATTTCCGCGACGTTTTTTAATAAGATACATCTTATTGAGAAGTAACTAAGGAGAAAAGATCCTGTAAACAACATTTCTTCGGGTGTTTCGGTTTCAGTGAGTAAAAGAAGGAAGAGTACTTGTTCCGGGGCAAATCTAGACACAGTAATAATATAAAGATTGTGAAATGTAAGCACAAATTACTATGTTTACTAAGAATGTACCCACAAAATAGTACCCTTAGACACTTATGAATTTAGGAAAAAACATAAAGTGATGAACATTTGTGTTAATTATCAGATTGTTACTTTCTGGTTTCATTATACGAGAGTTACTGTACGCTCAAAATAACGACTTAAAATTTACTAAAATGTTGAAAATAATCTAAGGAAAATGAAGTGATATTTAAAAACTACAAATTTATTTAAAAGTTTATCACGTAACATTAAATCAAACAGTAAATATTCCCCAAATTAAACATACAAATAACTTGTAAACATTGTAGTAACTGTTACACAATACTGCAGTAACTGTTACATAATGTCATCATTTTAACTCTTACGGCGTCATTTTCTTCACGTAACATTTATTATGAAATATCATATAATCAGGTGAAGTCTCCGAATTCCCAATTTGTATCTCGTGGTCTGTTTCTATAGATAGACGGACACAAATCCAGATCCTTTTCATGGAGGTTCTTGTATTTGGGATAAAAAAATATCGATTCAATTTTTCAAAACAACTTTCGTATTTCTGACGTCATTAAAGAGTGTTTATGCCTCGAACTCCGAGAAAATATGTAGATTCTACCACATTCTTATATAATATACAGCCACTGTCAGTAATATTTAGTAACCTTTAGAATTAGAATTCAGTAACCTTTAGAATAACCATAAACAACAAAGAATTTAAAGCAGGTATTCTTTGAATCTCTCGTGACACAGAAATCTGATATAGTCGTACAATTTATACATTACAGTATATGAGACTCATAACTTCAACAAAGTGGATTTTTATCTTATAGGGGCTCAGTACATTTTTGAGGGACCTTCGTTTGACAAGAGTGCACTAGAGTTCTGATATAAGCTTGTTAAGAATCCATTTGATCCTTGCAGTTCCTTTCTTGTTTTCCAACACTGAAAACTACTTTTAAAAGAATACAGATGTCTCTAAAATATAATTATAACTCTTAACGTAGTAATAATACTCATTATGTCAGTAGCAACAGTTCACTACAAAAAGTTTACATACAATACATGTACATTATTTTAGAACACAATTACAGATGACATTAAACGATTAAAATCAATACAGAAGTTTAAGTGCCAAGTAAAATATTTCCTGCTGTATAAATGTTTCTATACAAGCTGAGAATATAGCGAGCAACCAAAAGAAAAGGAATTATTGATTTTAACACTGACATTTTTTTCTGAATTAGTTGCTATTTGGACTCTATACTTTGAAAAGACAAAAAAGCCTGTAAATAAGTATTGTATGTCAGCTTTTGAGACCATTAACCCCCATCTAGATGAGGTGTTTTGTCCAGTTTCCCTGATTCTTTGACCGAATGCTGAGCTGTCTTCTTGTTTTGCTTGACATATATGTAATTTCATTATCTGTGCACTTTTCTAGAGTTCATTGAGTACTATAGCTATTCACATCACAATCACAGCTACAACGTTCTCCATGTTCTCGTGGCCAAAAAAAATTCCTTCACGAAGGGCACGATGACTGATAATAGCCAAAATTTGTATCTTTTTTCCCCTTTGCAAATAATTTTTTATACGGGAGATAATGTTCTCTTATCAATGTTTGCCAAACAGCTCATTCCATCTGTATTCAGAATTAAACTCGTTTGTGGGTTCAGGTAGAGATCCCAGAATTTGAGAAAACATGCACGGAATACACTTCTCTCCGTAACACGTCACTCAGTTTTGTTTCTTGACATAAAAAGAATAATGTAATATTTTAAACATTTCTCTGTAATTATTATTTTAACGTAACTGTGACAGTAGCACCATGACGTTTCCTGAACTAGACATCACATCCGATCTGTAACACAGTTTTCAGGTGTATCACGTTAAAAAAAGTTATTCTCACGGTATTTAAGAATTTATGATCTTGCAAAATAACTGTGATAAAGATGACAAAGGAATGGGGGGCTGACATTTAGAAGGATGTCGATAAAATTGTGATGGAACACAAATGTAATAATTTTGAAGTTGGCAATTTTGCCTTTATTTCTATTTTGCCTTTTATTCGATTTTCAAGCAGAAAAGCAATGCCGATTATAAAGGAGAAATAAAAGATATTGACAATGTAGGTTTTTAATTTCAAGTGAAGTATCTGAAATGACTTCCCTACTTAAATTTCTTACTGAATTTACGTCTCATCGAGACGTAAAGGGTAACGGGCTGTCAGCTGGAAAAAGCCCCAAAAAGAAGAACAAGCGATATAGGCTCTCCTAATGGGTACTAATTTCTACCGTTTTATTCTTCTTGTATATTCTAAAGGCTCGTTTCTTTTCTTTTATAGCTGATGAACAATCGTCATTCCACTGAACGTTTTCTAATTCTT